TGTGTTTAAAGGCGTGATCGGTGCTCTCCCAGTGGGAGGGGAGGGAGAAATAGGCCAGCACTCGTATCGAACAGTGCAGAGAGCTGCTGGCCTTAAAATAAACCTATGCAGGGATCTGTGCAATACCCCCGGAGGCTGATGGGTCACCCAGTGAGACAGAGATCATACAGCACAGTGCCTATCTAGAGAGACAACCTTGGGTGATATGCCTTGCAAAGAAGTGACTTGGAGCACCTTCTCCTACCATGGTCCCTGGGGAAAGAAGAGAGAGAGAGGAGAGGTGGGTAGATATTCATCTGTAGTGACCCATTAGCATCAAAGAGGTAACAAAAAAATCAAAACCTTAAATCAACAGGCCACAAGAGGGTATTGCTTTCTTGGTTATTGGGATGGGGTCTGGATTTGCGACTAAGCATGATGTTCCCCGAACCATTACAGACCCTTAAAACAGTGGTGAAAACCTTCCTGTGGTTTATTGCTGTCTCAGCGCACAGGCTGCATGCTTAAAAAGCACCTCTGGTCTTCAGCAGGCTCCCATTCCATGAAGCATCTCATTTAAAAAAACATTGCAGGTTTAGTGATTTCTTGAGTCTTGACTCCCTCAGAGAGAAACAAAGTTCCACCATGAGCTTCCAACAGACCTGCCACCTCCTTGAGCAGAGCATCACTTCTGCTTAGCAGAGATTTAAATTCTTTAAAGGATGATGAACCAGCACCTGTGATAGCTTATGACCCTATGAAGCAGCCTCTTGAATTTAGACTCGACATTTCTAGCTGCTTTCCTAATCAGGGAGGAAGTCTTTATTTACTCCAAATTGTCCAAAATTTTTCATCCCAAGTTCCCTGGCTCTTTCTCCTTCCTTACCCTGCAGGAATTTATACGCAGCAGGAATTTGGCAGCAGGAGGTTACAGAAGGGTCTGCCAGCCACCCCCACTGCAGGTGGTGCTGCTCTGCAAAGAAACCTCCAAATCCAAACTGCAAGGCTGTGGTCTATTTTGAAGTGAGGCATCACTGAATAATGCTATAGATCAGCCACAGGGGAGTTTGCTTAGTAGAGAACTCGGCCAAAGAGGACTTCGACAACCACAAAGACATTTACATGACAAGGCCAAATTGAGCTCATGTATACTCTGCCTTTCCAGAACTGAAAGGAAGGAGGGTGGGTGTGGAAGCACCTCCAGGAGCTAAATGACATCCATGTGTTAGGATAAAACAGAGTTGCCAAAGACCTACAGAAATAGGTTCAATCGACTGATTTTTTGCACACTTAAAAATTAAATCATATTGTTGCTGTAGGAGTTCCAGCTGCTGGGGGTGGGGTGGTGGTTTTCCAGTTGTTTGATCATCTAGTTCGTACTGCTAGCACTGTGGCAGCGGAGCAGGTAGCAAGCATGGCTGCTTATTCACACCATGTGCTGTGGGGAAGAGGGAACCAGCTGAAAGCAACCAGCTAGATTTAATTGCACTCTGGAAGACCCTTACAGAGAGCTCAGTTAGTGCAAAACTCATGTCAAGGCTCATGCTTTGGAACAAAACATAAAGACAAAACTACTGCTTTGGGCCCAGCTATCTTGAGAAATAGCTCTCCTGCAAGGGAGAACTGAAGGCAAGACCTTCAGCACAGGCCTGAGCATGCAATAACCTAAGATGCTAATGCTCATGGGCCAGGAATAAGATGAGAAAAAGCATCTGTGAAGTTGAATTCTCCACTCAAGCAGACAGTAGGAGGCTCACCCAGCCCATTCCCAAATAACCTCCCATTTCACTAGCACAATGTGAACAGGATAGTTGCAGTGAACTTCTAGACAGTCCAGGGTTCGGCAGGTGTCTTCTTCATGCTGTCCTCACTGAAAAGAGATTTCTTTGGAGTCTTCACTCTCTGCCCACATTTTGCTGTTGAAGTGTGTTGCTAAGGGGAGCGATTGGCTTAGGTTCTCCTCTCATCTCATCTCTCCTGTATATAGATATGTATATACACACACATACTGCTAATGCTTCAGGTGCCTCATTACTCCTTTTCCTCCTCCTCCAGCCAAGGAAACATTATTTCTTTCAGGGCCTGAAAAGAACAGTGATCAAGTCCAACTTCCCAGCCACGTGAAGCACCTGGAGCAATATACTCAAGTTCTTGTTAAGGCTCCAGTTATCCATTTCACAATAAATATTTTACAGTGAACACTGCAGTGAAGCTTTCATTTGGCAAAGATAAAACAGGCTTTGAATCTAAGGTTATGTATGTTTTATGTTGCTGGACAAGCTCCTATTACCAGATGGCTGAAAGAACCACTCACAAGATAAAAATAAGCTGGGAACTAAAGTAATTTCAGCAGAAAATTAAAGGTCAATGTTGTTCTTCAGCCTCTATACACTTGGTAGGAAGTGAGAAGTATTGTGTGAACAGACCCCAGGGGTCTACTCTTGCACTAAACTGAGAATTTAACCACGTAGAGAAGACTGATCCAACCTTTAAATACAGTAGCACAGGACATAGGAAACCAGAGTTTGTGCTCCTGCTGCCCCAAGAGCAGTAAGAGCAAAGGCAGGTCACGGACTGTAAACTTCAGCTTTCCCCATCTATAAAGGGGGCATCACACCACTTCCCTCAGAAGCAGAATGCGTCCAGGCTTAGTCCTCACAGCCCTTTGTGGTAGCACAGAGAGCTCCCAGAAAGTGCACTGCAACAACTGCACATATAAGCACACATTTGTTCTCATCTCCAAGAGTGTCACAGAGCACTTTGTTTTGCTGTGACATGGTCAAAGATTGCAAGCTGCTCAGATAGCTCAGGAATGAGGGCTGAGCAACCACTTTGGAGCCCAGTGGAAACAATTGCACACCACCATTTCAGCCAAGGGAACGGGACTCCTGAATTTAGAGTTGCTGAAACAGCACTGGCTACGCAGTGCTCGAGAGGGACAACCTTCCCCTGCATCATACTTGCCCTGCTATCGCCTATTGTGAGCCTTCTCAGCCAGCCTCATCTAAGGGCTAAGACGAAGATCACATCACTCACCTTCCATTTTAGGACAAGGACTTTGCTATGGCCGAATTTGCACTCTTCACATACTGCAGCATTGCACTGTGAAGCCCTATAGCAAGAACAAATCCCAAAATACCAGCAGACTTCAAAATAGGGAGCAAGTTTCTAATAGGGAAACAGTTTTAATCTATTTTCAGTCAAGACCTTAAACAGCACAGAGTTATTCCAGCCCTTAACCAGGGCAGAACTCCACCAGACAAGCAAAAGTTGCGTTGTGAAACTGATTTCACTAAACAATATAAATGATCTATTCAGAGAGCTGTGTGCCGTGAGTTCCAAAACCCATGTGATGTGCCAGCACAAGTAGGATTTTGACCCTTCATTAAGGAAGAAACAAAAAAGGACTTAATTTCCAGAAATACAGTATAAGGCTGCAGAGCTGCAAGTGTAGCCAAGCGTGTCTAGTTCACTAAGGGGCATGCAAGACTTTGATTTGCATCTAATGCTTCTAAACTACTTTGAAGTTAGGGAAAAAAAACCCACAAAACCAAAAAACTTCACAAGATCTCAGATTTAGACTTTTAAAAGCTGAGCTGTCTAGGTTAGAAAATCCAAATCCTTTATTTTCTACTCCTTATAAGGTGTATTTTATTAGGAAAATAAAAGGGGAGGGAGGGAAAAATAAGATAATTCCTGCCCAACACCTCTGGGGACTGTCTTGCAATAAGCAAAGTCTGTCTATGGCTCAGAGTCTACTGCTTCAGTTCAGTGGATCCTGGGTCAGGCCCTGCTCTGAGGACTATCCACCATTTGGACTCTGTATGGGTCTCATCACAGCTGCACCCAGCCTGGGAGTGCATTACGCAGCTGCTCTGTGCTCTCTCTCTCCCCAGGAGAGCTGCAAAGTGTTTCGCATTTTTGTGTGTTTATAGATGAATACAATATGTTAACACGAGAGCAAGGGCAAAGCCCTGCACCTCACACTTGGAGCAAAAGGTGCCAGATCTGGGATGACCCAGGGGTCTTCTCCTGCAGCAGTCCTACCTGAGGCCATTCCCTTACCCCCAGAAGATCAGGGCTGGTGAATGGGGCTTCAGTTGACTCTTCAGATCTAGTTTCTGAATCAGGTCCTGCAGAGATTTATGTTTATTTTAAACTAGGTAAAAGGAAAGTAGTCAACTTCTAGTTCCTGGTAAAGACTCACTTGTAAGGTGGCAACTGGGATCGATCTCCGAGTCTGTTCCAGTCCGGAGTCCAGCCCAGGCTGATGCTGCAGCATCAGATCTTTGCACTGACGTGGCTCATACAACCCATCTACAGAAACTCAGCACCGTGGCTCAGCTCTTCTTCTGTAGGTTTACTAGGATAGCATTACTGCAGAAAGACAATCTGCCCTATAAGGAACTGGTCGGGGAATATTTCAACAGATCCCCCTCCTCCCCTTTACAGCGTTAGAGTTTTGCAAAACATTAAGCACATGAAGGCATTTCATTTATGAAGCAGTTTTAGGTCAAATATTTATTGCATTCCTTATAAAACAGTAAAAAGCGTCAAATCCACTGAGACAATCTTCCCAATTCAAGACATTTAAGTACATATTGCAAACCAATTCTTTTGAGTATTGTGCATATAAAAGTGTCACAGTTCAGGTAGTACAGGATAGATTCTGTTTTCTCTTTTCTATAAAAATAGCAGACAATCTTTTGATTTCAGTCTCTAGCCCTGACAAAAAGTTACACCCAGCTGGCCAGCCAGGGGAAGTACATATCCATACCCCTAACCTCAACGTGCCTGCATGTGTACAGGTTAGTGTCAGACAGGTAAAGCAGATACTGCTCAAGCCTGTACAGGAGGCACAGATACCATCCCAAAGAGACAGCTGCAGAAGGATAGGTCTAGATGAGACAGGCAAAAGGATCTCTGCAGATCCATAGGGGTGAACTAGCATTCCCCACCCTGCCCTTCCTCGGCCAGCTCAAGGATCACAGTGCATCTTCCCTTCCTCCACCTTAGTGTTGTCAGATGACCACTTGATAGCTGGACTGCTTCATCTTCTAGTTCGTTCCGTGGAGTCCTGAAATATCCTCGTCGCTTTCAGACTGATCAAAATCCATGTCTGGAGAGAGTAATGCCTAGAAAGGAGAACAGACAGATGCTGATGGAGTGAAAGTTCTCAGCTCTTCTTGATACTGCTTGTTGAAGGGGTCAAGCACCCCTAGAGGGGTCTGCTGCAAGATCTAATCCTCTCTGGCAGATGGGGAAGGTCTCAAGGTCACCTTGACCATCTCTCCAATGACAGCCAGATTGATTTGGGCACAGACACCGTGATGACCTGGTATCCCAGCCCCCACCCCCACCCCCCTTGAGAGCAGAACAGGCAGCTAAAAGCTCTGTTCACCATGGGACAGGGCTCACATGTAGACATGCATGTTCAGGCCAGGCTGCAGCCTCAGTAGAGATGTACAAAAACTAGGCCACATATTTGGTAAACAGCTGTAGCAAATGTAGACCTTTTCCCAGGCCCCCAAGCTGCTTGCTATCTCCAGAGCTCAGCCAGAAGAGCAAGCAGAGCTACAGGGTTAGCTTCAGCCATGGCCAGCAAGCTCAGGAGTGGTGTCCTAGCCTGGTAGCACCTTATTTCTACCTGGCACAGCAGCTCCTGGCTCAGTCTGAATTGTGGGAGCCAAAATAGAGCACTGACACCTCTCACCAGTACCTCTCCAGGTAAGAAAGCCCACAGCTTTGCTGCGTGATCAAAAGGCTGCCCATTGCCTCCAGGAACACCTACGCTCTCAGTAGCTAACTTCAGACTTGAAGCTACCAACAGGCTGTTTTGAGCTAACTGGCTGCCACCGGCCTGGAGCGTTTGCACAATGCAGACGGAGCCACGCGTGGGGCATCCTCCAGCCACATCATCTGGAAGAGGAAAAAGGCCGGATTTTACTTAGGCTATGGCTGCAGAAGAGCTGAAACCCAGTGCCAGCCAGCAGGATGGATGGATGAGCAGTTTGCATGGGTAATATTCACGGCTTGACAGATTGTTTGCTCAACCCCATCCTACCCCTTCTTACCTCAAACACCCAGCTTTGGGCAAGAGAAGCCCTACTGTCATTACCCCTGACAGCAGCTACCTCTAAGCACAGCTGAGGTGCAGTGCAGCTGACAGTAGCTACCTCTAAGCACAGCTGAGGTGCAGTCAACCCTTGTGCAACAGCTTGTGTCATGCCCAGCAGTTCTCAGGATCTCAGCTGAACCATGGGATTTCCAGTAAACACTAGTCACCCACATCAGAAGCCTGGCCAGGTCCTTGGCACCTCAGCCCCCAACTCTACAGAGGGGCACAAGCCTAACAACACAGTCAAGGGCCTCCAGTTTTATTTCCCTAGATGAGCAATGCCAGCAGCCCTTTTCCCCTCCTCCACTTGCCCATCACAGAACCCAAACAGCATCATTAGTTCATGGCTGATGCAGGGACAAGGGGCAGGTACCACAACCACCCCCACAGACATAGCTTCCTCTAGCAAGGCAGTGTAGACCTCTCACCCAAGCCTCAGCCCCATCTGACCCCACTTTGCTCCAAAGACTGAACCAATGAACTATGAAACCTCCCTGTGCCTGACTCACCGCAGCCTTCCAGCTCAAAGGCACAAGTCAAGGGATGCTGCAGGGGCTTTCAGCCAAGCACGTTCGCCTGCAGAGTGTCCCCAACAACTCAGCCAGTCCTGGAGCTTGGGCTAAACGAGGAGCATGGGGGAATTAGTCTTATCTGTGGCTATCTCCGGGCACAGTTGTGAATTAACATGCCCTCCACTTGTTAGCACTTAGGCAGCACCATGGGGCCAGTCACCACAGCAACAAAATGACTAAACAGGAAAAACAAACTGCAGTGAGTCAGTTACTTCAAAGGAATAGAAGAGCCGCAGGGGAAGATTTCCTCCCCACCCTCACGCACACTCCAGCCCCTCCATCCGATGTTGTTATCTTCGCAGCAGCACGTCAGACACTCAAAGGACAGCAATAGATCAGATTAAGCTCTCTTGTGTCCCCCCCACTGCTCTCAAGGAATTTTTTTTTTTGGTTCAAGACACACCCTGGAAGGTTTCCATCTCTTCCAAGTGAAGATTTCCTCTGTTTATCATATTAATATTGTGATGCTGTTGAACCTGAAAAAATGGGTGGATAATTAGTCACACACAGCATGTGAACTGAACTCTGTCACTGAACTCTGACAGGCTGCAACAGGTTAGTTTTGGGGCCTAATGAACTGGTAATTTCAGTGGGTTTCAGCTGCAAACTCCAATCCTGTTGCAGCCAAGCGTGGCTGACTGAGCAGGCACTAAGCATTGTGCATCCAGACCCATTCAGGCTGCTACCTGCCCACCATACAACTTGTATGAAGCACTCGAGCCAACAGTCCCCCAGTAACCTTTCCACAGTTCCTCAGGGAGCTTCATCATGAGACGGCACCTCATCTCTATGACAGTCATGGGACATACCCTCAGATACGTTTTTCAAGCCAAACTCCAGTTTGGGAATTTTCAGCACAACTTGGACAAGGCGCTTCCCCTGCAGATGCATCCAGGTCAGGATCACAGCAGGTCGGTGGCACAGCTGGGAATGGACCACGGTTTCCCAGTCTGGGACAATGTGCTACTGTCTCACTCAGCAGTCCTCAAAGACTTCATGCATTCCTCCCCACACCAGGAGGCCGGCAGCTTGCAAAACAACGTGGGTCACACTACTGAAACAGGGCTGCCCGTGTGCTTTGCCAACCCCTTCTGTCTGGGGGAAGAGTACTGATATGGTACTCCATCCAAGCAGACCCTTTAGATAACGAATCCATCTCAGCGGCAGAGAGAGAGATTGCACAGACAGATGAGAACTGTGACACAGGTTGTAAAACAAAGAAGCTCTGGGGCCATTTCCTTGCTAGTGGTGGAAACCTGTTTGCCTAAAGCTCCACCAGCTTGGTGTGGAGGTAGGAACCACCCCACTGTCCTCCTACATCTGACCTTAGGTAAGTTCCCATGAGTCAGTAGGGCTGACAGGTGGGAGAGTCTCCTTCCAGAGGCACCTCTATGCCCACCTTCATTTAGCTTCCCTGTAAGGACCAGGCACCTTAGCTGATCTTTAAATAGCTCAAGGTGAGCTCAGTTAAGCAACGAGCAAATCAAAGTTGGTCTTGGAGTATTCTTCAGTACTTAAAAGCAAGCAACATAAGTATTGGCATTCATCAGCATCTTCAGCCTAGGGATTTGCCAAAAGTCACAGCTCCTATGAAGGGAATCGGGATAGGTGCTGAACTCCATGCTGACCAAAGGCAGGTCCCCATGTAGTATATTAGCTTTCCTCCCAACCTTCAACTAGCCTCTAGTTTCACCCTAATGGTCTCACAAGTACCACTGTTATTAGGCCAAATTTTGCTTAAAGGCTTGTCTCTGAAAATGTAAGCCTTCAGGAAAGGAGCAGAAACTCACACGCCGCCCTTGGGGAAAAAAAACTAGAAACAAGTTCAAAAAAAGATCAAATAAAACATTATTAAAACTGAGTTGTTTTCCTGAGTGGAGGAAACAAGGAAATCACTGATAAGATCTAAGGTTTATTGGCACTTGCAAGGGCAAGGGAAAAGAGACTCAGGTCAAGGGCAGGACACATACAAAGCAGAAGTGAGGGCCACGCAGATGAATGCATTTCCCCAGCCTGAACTGCACTGGATTCAGACTGGCACCCTTGAGAGATCTCTTTCCATCCCATGAGAGAGCAAAAAAAAGACTGCGTGAAGATTTACTAAGGCAGGGCACAAGTCTGAAACAACAGAAAGCTTTAAGACTGACTTGGAAGGAATGGTGAAATTCTTCCAGCCATAAGAGTGAGTTTATCCCTTTCAGAGCTTCAGTGTAAAAAAAGTTCAGCAGTTGCTCCATTACAAGCAAGAGCCCATCGTCACATCTGTGGCTCACCAGAAGAGCCTTAAAGCCCACAAGAGCGTCAGTTCTTTGGTCTACACTGCAGCCATGGAGTCAGTGAGTGACACACACCAGTGGCAGGATTGCTGGTTGCTGGATTTCTTCTTGCCACCCAGCTGGTCTACCAAGCCTACGTTTGGTACAAAGCTGCGTTTTCCTGCTATTCCCTGTAGAAAATACTGAGTGTGGGGTTTTTAACAGGTTAACTCCAGCCCGCCCTTTCCATTCTCCTTCCTCTCTCCCCTTCCTTTTCCAAACACAAACTGCTAGTTTGAGTGAAAATAGTGACACTCTCTATTGGCGAGATAGGCAGAGGGTTGAAATTCAAGACGGCAGCATGATGGGGAGCTGTTGGCGCCTGCTGCTAGACAGCCCTGATGAACCCTGATAACTGCGAGACACATTAGCCTCAGCCAGCTCTGCCCTGTACAGAGATACTTCTCAGTCTCCCTCTCTCTCCATGGGGCAACAGGGAGGGAAGAAACTCCCCCAGTTGAACAGGTTATTAGCAGCAACAAGCCCAGCATACCCTCATTTTCTGTTTTCGAGCCTAAATTCCATCCAATCCAGCTGTAAGGCCCAGCCAGCCAACATAATCTTTAATTCATAGCCTAAAAAGTTGACACACGAAGCAGGAGCCTATGGCTATACCTCAAGGCCCAGTGCCAAGAAACAGAGCTAGAAAAGCAGGTCACCCACTTCTGTATTTCTTCATTACCTGCCTTCTCTACCCAAACTATTTGTTGGGCCGGAGGCACCAGGAACATGTCTGAGCAGAAAGGAGGCAGTCCCTGTAGACTGCTCCAGGTACAAACCAGTCCCCTTGGTAGCTCCACTGCAGCGATGGATCAGAGGGTTTCAGGATGGACAGATGACCTACACATTGAACGTCTCAGCAGAATTTGTCTGAGAAAGAGAGTCAAGTACTTGAAGATAGAAGAAACCTTTGACAACAAGAGTCAGACTGTGGAAGTCCAGTTTCCACTGCTTGAAACAACCAGTCTAGTTGAGCTACCAGAAGAGCCTTTCCTAGCTTCTGGAGATTAACAGGTTATCCAAAACTGAGCTAGAGGCCACAAAACACTTGCCCCGCCTTCAGTGGAGCAAGGCAGAGGATCAGCTCCATTTCCATGAAAAACCATTAACTGTAGTACCACCTGTGTATCCACAGCAGCAAGCCACCTATAAGACTAGATACTCCAAATTTAGGTTTGAAAGATTGGTGTCTCAACTAGAGATGCCACCTCCTCACCCTCGTTTCTGAGCCAGTGTAATTTTAACTGATCTTAAACCTTCAGGAACACACTGGCATACCCAGTCAGTAAGGCAGATCTTCACCACCACTTTCACGCTTGGAGCAGACCTCCAACCTAGCTCTTTCAAGGAAGTACCACTCGAACATCGCTCACCACCAAGAAACCAGGACTGTGCCATAACCAGGGAGACGTTCACACCCAGAGTTAATCCACCTTCACATCCTAGGTATGAGTTCTTAGCTTCAATGCACAACTATCAAGCCATACTGGTACTGCTCAGCTCAGGCCTCTCTTCCCTCCTTTCTCCAATACAATAAAAGATTTCTCGAGGATGCCCTCACCACAGACACCACTTGGGAAACTCCCTGGGGCACACTGTTCGCATGTTTCTAGAGACCTCGCCAAGCTACAACTGTTTATCTGGAGGCCGGGCCAGGAGGAGTGACTCACTTGTCTCAACAGCTGCTCCTATCTGCCTGCCCTTCCTGCCAGAGGGAGGATGCCTCCAACACCACATCCTCATGAGCAGCGGCCACTTCCCTGCTGCACCCTTGAGCCGTGGAAGCCATCGCTGCTGTGCAGACTGCAAAGCATGCCGTTAAACACTACTACCTCCGTGTGCGTTGCAACGTCACCAGTCATTGGCCATCCCACCCATCGGTAAAAGAGCAGAGTTACTCTTTATAAAAGAGCTCTCAGAAAGCAAGAGCTATTTCTATTCATCCTAAATTCCTCGGCAGAAGCTAGTCCAGGAGCCAGCCTGCAACTGCCAAAAGCTATCTTATCTCAGCGAGTCTCACCAGTGAGCTGCAGATATCAGCAGTCGTACACAGAGCACTTTGAAACAGGGTCTGGGTGCCAGGGGAAGGAAGGGAATTCAACCCAGCGACTCAGGTTGTGGTCTCTGCCCAAAAGCCGATGAGAAGCACAGACGTCACCTGCCCAGCAAACCACGCGTCATTAACAAAAACAAAGTCTGCTGGGACTGGAGCACTTCCTACCCCCCCTAACTTTTAAGTGTCAAGCTCATCTTGACAAAATACAGCTTCCTACAGTAAGGGACCATCATCTGGCTGAAAAAAACCCAAACCCCAAAATAAAAAAAAAAAACCACCCACACAAAAATACCAAATGCTGACAAAAATAGGATTCCCAGCTAGGCCTTGTCCTCTAAAAAGGATACTACCAACTACAGCAAGGAAAGCAAGCTCTTCTAAGCCAAGATTAGTTACAATTAAAAATGGGAAAGTTGAAAGAGATGGTGGAGAGGTACCCACCAGCTTCAGCCTGTCACTCCAACAAGCCCACACAGGTTAGTGCAAAGGCTAGCTCATCCCTCACAAGATACTGTCATCATTTAGGGCAATATTTCAGCCACACTTTGTAGGCTGTAATATTGCTCTTTGTTAGACAGGGCCAGATCATCCCAGAAAACATGCCTCTGTTGACATCAGCTACTGGCATGGAAAGTCAGTTTGACTTAGCAGGGTCATCGTTCACATGCATAAAGCCTCACCCTAGGTCTAGGCAACATGATGGTACGTTGCATGATTGTGGTGAAGCACATAGACCATACCACAAGCTTGCAGTTTGGTCTCCAACACAGAACATCCTCGGTCTTACCTGAGATTCCTCAGTCTTCCTAGCCCAAGGAGTTTCTGTGGATCCATTGATGTCCAGGGTATCCTTCTGCTTATGTTTCCTCATGGTCAAGCTGTCCACAACCCAGAACGTAATGGCCTTGAGGAGAAAGAAGTTGCATGAATAGATTGCAGAGACCAAAATACAAAGTCATTCAAATCATAGCTATTTCTTCTCCTTTTGGTTTCTCCAGATGTCCAGCCTTGATCAACCTAATTTAATATCTAAATTAGCCCTGCATCAAGTGTGTCCATGGGGGTTGGATGAGTCAACTTCCTGAGATCCCTTCTCACTTGAATCCTATTGATTCCATAGCTGTTGAAGACGCAGTGAAGGAAAAAACAAAACAAAACAAAACCCCCACAATAAGCCAAGTTTCCACCAGGAAATAACCACCCCACGATAAGCCAAGTTTCCACCAGGAAATAACCATTGAACCAAGCTCCATCCCAGGTTCACCTGCTTCGTCTGCATCAGTCACCAGTCAGTTCTTTGAGAACCAGAGTTTGCTTTCAAATAAGGAAATGCAGCCTGGGGTGGGGAGAGAGGCTGGTAGCACAGGCAGGTAAACCCAACTTTGCCAATGCTGCATCCATTGCAATGCTCATGGGATAAACTGAAAAGAGTTCGACTCATTCCTTGTCCAGGGGGGGATCTGAATATTAACACCATGTTCTCACTTCCCATCTTAGCAGGAACTAAGCAGCAGGTCAAGGATTACCCAGAATCAGGGGAACCACAAAAAAGCTGAGCTTTCAAGAGGTTCTGCCAAACTAGTTTTGTGAAGATCAATAGTTCTGGGTAACCTGAACACCTTGCCTTGCTGTAACACAGTTTGAAGCCTAGCCAAACGGCTAGGTTGGCAGGTTGCCAAAAGTCACCACCCACAAGCCATCCTATAGGAATTTAGAGGGCTTTGGGGCATTCCCACACCTGTAGCTTGCTGCTGAGATGCAGCCCTCAGCTAATGAGCCCCAGCTTTCTTCAAAGAATCAGCCACCCAGCAGCTTGGACAAGGGAGCAGGAATTAGGAACAGAGACCGTGGCAGAGCAGTAGTGACATATTTGTGTATTCATGGCAACAAATACATTTGTTTCCACTCCCCTCCACCCCGTCCCAGCCACTTCAATTACTCAAGGCTGCCCCAAGCCAGTTCCTGTACACACTCCCCCTTGGGGGGGGACCCATAATTTCCAAACCACGCCACCCAGTGCTTACAAAGGCATCACTTACATTGACTATAAAAGGCACAACAAACATGACCAGGGCGAGCTCCAGCTGGGAACCTGGGATGTAACCCAGGAGGATCTGCGGAAGCTGCAGAGGAAAGAGCATTTAGAAGCATTATTTGAACAGCTCTGCTGCAAGATCTTTGCTGCAAACTGGTTGCTTTTACACCAGCAGTCTCCCAGCTAAGGCTCTGCAGCCTTTGCTTTAGCCCGGCTCTTAGAAAGATTGCATGGGCTATTCCTTTAGCCCAGCTGCCAAACACAGGATTTTGTACAGATCAAGAAATAAGTACTGCTAGTCTTTCAGCTTAACTACCTGTGACAACTGGTGGGACTTTCCTTGGCTCCTTGGAACCTAGCTGCAAAATAAGGACACCAGCCACGCGTGATAAGCATGAAGAGGAATCCAGCAGCATCTCTGGACATAGCAGCGCAAACACGAACATGTTGTTCAGCGCAAGTCAGCACTGTAGGCTACTGGGTTAGAAGGACAAGCCCTTAACGGGAACAGACAAGGGCTCCCAGATTGCTGTAAACAACTCCTCAGTCAAGTCGCATGAGCCTGTGAGGTACTAGGCACTACCTGTAAATGCACTCAATACTGGAGCTACCCATTAACACTCAGAATTGGTTTTTATACCCACCACGCCTACCTGCCACCAGGCAGGAGGGCACAACTGCCACAGGATTATTATTTTTTCAAAGAGAAACTCATGATCAACACAATTACAGAAGCAGTTGAGGGGGGAAGGACAGCATACTACTGGGCTAGTTCTTTCCAAATTAACCTCTAAGAGTCCCCCTAGTTTAGGCATGGGATCAGGAAGCACCAACATGAACTGACTTGATGAGATAATGTAGAAATCTTCTGGCAGAACTGAAGTAGCTCAGCTGCCAGCCCAGCCTATTTTATCCTTCCAAGGATGGAAGAGAAAATTAAGGCAGCATCTTATTCCACTAGCTTTTGACTAGCAAGAGAATGTACCAAAAGCCAAACTGTTATGAAAGTCATGTTTCCCCAAACTTAAGTAATAGCTAATGATTACAGAGAGATGTCAACAAGTCATAAGGATTAAAGACCTATGATGATGGGGACCACTAATAAGGCAAAGCTGACAAGAAACAAGCCACAGCAACTGTGGCTAGAAAAATACAGCTCAGGAGCTCACCTTTGTCCAACCAGGGATAAGCAGGACAAGCCTAATCACAGTCTTCTCAAAAAACATTATCAGCAAGTAGAGGAAACACTGGCCAATCCAGGCAGCAGCTTGTGGAGGGTCACCTGGGAAAACAGCACATTAAATCCAAGACAGAGGACAGGAGGAGACAGCCCTACAGAAAAGTTGCCTCATGCTTGATACCTGAGCTGATTAGAGAGACAGGGAAGTGTTTCCATACCGCAGAACTTGCACTGGGACAAATACTCAATACCAAACTTAAAATTAGTGGAGAGATTTTCTACCTATAGTTGTAGGAACACATGCCTGGGGTAGTAAGGTTTGGTGTCCCTGCCTGGTCTAGAAGGCATTACTCCATTGAAGATCAAAACATACCAAGATCTAAGCTCAAATCTTTCTAGTTTAAAAAAAAAATCTGACTTGTATTAGAGAAAATTTAGCAGACTTGCATCCCTTACTAGTTGCAGCTCATTTTGCATCTTTGCAAACTGATGTACAGAAGAGCAGAAAGGCAAAAGACTGCACCCCACTTCCATTTGTGCAGTCTCCCTTCATCAGGACAGCTATTTGTCTTTCATAGAATAGAATCATAGAATCATTATATCTGACTTGTATTAGAGAAAACTTAGCAGACTTGCATCCCTTACTAGTTGCAGCTCATTTTGCATCTTTGCAAACTGATGTAGAGAAGAGCAGAAAGGCAAAAGACTGCACCCCACTTCCATTTGTGCAGTCTCCCTTCATCAGGACAGCTATTTGTCTTTCATAGAATAGAATCATAGAATCATTGAGGTTGGAAAAGACCTCTAAGATCATCAAGTCCAACCGTCAACCCAACACCACCATGCCCACTAAACCATGTCCCTAAGTGCCTCATCTACTCGTCTTTTAAATACCTCCAGGACTCCACCACCCCCCTGGGCAGCCTGTGCCAATGTTTCACCACTCTTTCATCTTTCACATTTTTCCTCACGTTCAATCTAAACCTCCCCTGGC